AAATGGGGTCCATTATGCTACATCCGATACCTAAAATTGATCACCCTTGAGCGGGGTACTACACAAGGCGGCGTGGCCATGTGAGGACATGACGCAAACGGACCTTTCGGCCAGAGGGTACTTGCGAGGCTATTTAGCGGGCGGCCACGGTGACTGGGCAAAGTCGAGACTTGTGACTTCGATAACTAAAGAATTAAAAAGAATATAAAAACATAGTTTCTTCCCTACGAACTATTTAGAACCTAATCTGCTATTAGCAAAAAAAGGAGCCGTTTTATTTATCTATACCTTATATAGGTTAACGTTAACCTGTATCGCAGACAGGTCAAAGATAAATTATCATGGATATTTTACGGTGGTAGGGCCACGCGGCAGCCTCGGCTCTTGCACGAATGGGCGGGCTCGTCGGGGTAAGTACCACGACCTCACAGAAGACCGGCTCAAAGTGGAAGTATAATACTTTCACGTTTCGTCTGGTGAGTGAGGTGGCCGGACTCCAATTACCAAAAGGTTGTCAACTGGAACTTTCGAGTCTAGCGGATGTCCATGGGCGGCGGTATTCACTTAACATCAGGTGAACAAACTGCTCGTTTGGCAACTTTTCACATAAAAAAAATAATAACATGATATCGATGGGAATCAAGCTCATCACTCACGATGCGGAAGCCTTACAGCTTAGTTAAAAAGCGAACCTGGCTTTTCTAAAGTTTAAGTCTTGTTTCGCGCTTACGCCTAAAGAAAGGAGAAAGTGATTGCTTTCAGATCACATTAGAACATAGTCATAGAGATCAACATTTATGACTTTAATCATCGAAGCTACATTGTAATTACAGAAAATATATTATGATTCACTGCCCAAACATTTAGCTGTCAAATGTTACTCGAGTGAACGGCAAGGCCACATTTGTGGTCATACAGGAGCAAATACAAAGTGACCTTTAGACGTCACCATGTTTTCAATCGTAACTACGATGATAACACGTCAAATCAAATTTGCCTTTTAAATTGGTATTAATGGGTGACTGCAAACATATACACAAAGATTATTGTACCTCCAAGCGAAGCCTGAAGAGTAAACCGAAAATAATCGCGAGTCCAAAGTTTACGTGTATGCATCCCTTCATAAGCGAGTCGACTCAACACTCGGCTGAGCGGCACGCGCCTGTGATTAATGCGTCCGAGGTCGAAATGGAAATCTGTCAACGGGTAGCGTAAACGAGTCCCCTCGCGAGAGAGTTGATGAAGCATTTGTTTGTATTGTGTTCACATTACTTCGTGCGTGGGCACAATGGACGCTGCTTTGACAAAGGAGACGAAAAGCGATACAAAACGCTTCCGCTTCTGTAGCTAGATATTGATGAATTGGATATTCGACACGAGCGGAACAGGTGGAGTTTTTCAGGGCGGTTGGGTTATTTGAAAGGTTTTCTTTTTCGCCGTATACAAAGCCCTATGTTCATCGTCGTCGCCTGTTTTTAAGTATGCAACGAGAAAACGTTTAACCCTGTATTAAGGTAACAAGGTGGTACCCTCGACTTCGTCTACGTTGCTTATTATATTGATAATATATTTCATTTAGCCCGGCAAGAAGACTGATGAGTGAATGTATTGACACACTGTCTGAACACTATAAAAATCGATGTTCCTTAAAACTTTAATAACTAACATTAAACGAACATATCGCAATAGTTTTTAGATCAGGGCCAAGTGTGTAAAAATATAAGCTAGAAGAGTATTAATTTATATCCATCCAATAGTTCTTCTATGATGCGCATACAACGTCAGACGCCTGTCATTTTATTTATCTCTATAGATAGATGACCGCATCAGCACGTGGAATTCATTAACTTAAAAAGGTAATCTCGCCACCCTCCACGTACCAGCTACCTTAGAAAATACTTCTCTCGAGAATCTAAACCTCGACTCCCGGCACCAAAGCCAATAACAACTGCGCCGTCGAATTTATACAATACATTTTTTAATTGCTTACGCATGAGGACATCAAAAAGGATAGCTTTGTATGTATTTTGTAGGCATTTTATGTTTGACTAAAAGTGTTGTAAATTAATTCTTTGCATTCGCGAATATTATCTTGTCGATGTTAGATGAAATTATACAAACGTCAAAACGGCAACGGGCAACGCTTGGAGGACAATTGCCAAACATGCCGGAATAAAAACTTTGCGCGGTGACAAATTGAGCCGCGAAAAAAGTAAATAAAATAAAAAACAACTTTTAATTGACGCAATGTCAGAGTTGAAAGCTATCGAGAGAACCTTATCGAGTCGAACGCCACAAGCGAATTTGTTTTTTTTTTATATTTTATCTATTATTGAGTATTCGGAACACTAGATGGCAGTTTTTTTTAATTCCCCGACATACACAGGAGATCCATCGTTAGGGGCCAGACTTGTTGACCTCCTGGTGTGTCGATCAACCCCCTACGACCGACTTTGTGGTCTTTTTTATCTACGCTAAAACGCTACCGTATTATTTGTAGGGTTCGGTACCTAAAGAAAGAAAAAACGGAAAAAGAAGATAAAACGGACCACTAAACCAGACTCCGCTGTCTGTATGTCTGTCTGTCAGTCTTCGGTACAGTCTTCGCTGTTGTACAAATGAGCGGGCCCGTCTGATTAAGTACCACGATCTCACAGAAGACCGGCGTGAAGTGTAAGTGTTACACTTATGCGTTTCGTCTGGTGAGTGAGGTAGCCAAAGCCCAATTTTATAAAAGGTGGCAATAAATGTGCAAGCCTACGGGTGTTTCAATTGTCCATGATCGGCGGTTATCACTTGACATCCGGTGAACCGGCACCTCGCTTATCACCTTCTCACATAAAAAAACCGGCCAAGCGCGAGTTGGACTCGCGCACAAAAGGTTCCGTACTATTATCTTTAAAAACGGCAAAAATCATGTCCGTTGAGCCCAACTTAATTATTTTTTTAATTCTATTTTTAGCATTTGCTAATCAAGCTTGTTAAGCTAAGCTTTGCAAAGCTTGGTGACAGTCTGTCCGTCACTAGGCTGTATCTAGCTAGACAGACAGACGTACGGACAGACAGCGAAGTCTTAGTAATAGGGTCCCCTACCCTTTGGATACGGAACCCTAAAAAGAGAATCGTGAAGGTGTGTTTATACCTCTAGAGCCTGATAGAGTTCAAGTTGTTGCACACGAGAGCACCGGCCGTGGAGACAAAACAGCAACGAGACACAACCACGACATTAGCCAATGTTTCCAGCAACGCGACACTACTATACAAATGTACGCAAACAACAGTCCGATTGTAACACGATACGACACGCTAAGTGCCGTGACGGGGCGTCGAGGAGACTGCCAGTGTTTGGTTTCGGCGTGTTTCCACATTACGTGTGGTTGTTTTTTATGTGAAAAGTTGACAAGCGAGCGGGTGGTTCACCTGATGTTAAGTGAATACCGCCGCCCATGGACATCTGCTACACCCGAGAGTTGCAGATGCGTTGACAACCTTTTGAAAATTGGCTACCTCACTCACCCGACGAAACGAGAAAGTATTTTTCATACTTCCACTTAACGCCGGTGTTCTGTGAAGTCGTGGTGCTTACCCGGACGGGCCTGCCCATTCGTGCAACAGCCGATGTTGCTGCGTGGCCCTACCACAGTTAAAACTGCAAGCGACCTGGACATAATTATAATGATTACTCCGTGATGCAGTTGCCGAGGTAATTGCTTCGGCGGCGGGGGTCGTGGGTTCGATCCCCACAAGGTACAGCTGTTTTATTGACCTACAGACAACTGTTTCGGACCTGGGTCTTTGTCCACGTGAAACTTATCTATGTAAAATGTCCTAACAACACGGGATTATGTTAACTACTACAGTACGGGCGATGTTATAAAAAATGATAAAGATAAGTAAAAGATACCTTCATACGCTACAACAACAAGTGTTCGCAACGCAGAGTATTTCGTTTAAAAATAAAATGCGACAAAATCCGGAAAACAATTTTATTTGACTATAACATTATATATTACGAGCCGTGATCGCGATACAAATTCACTTGACAGCCTTGAAGGAATATAATGTTTTGAGAGCGTATGTTTGTATATAATTGTAGAATATAAGTATCCGTGATAGCTCATTGTCCGGGCAACCCGAGTTCGATCCCCGGTGCCGGCACCAGTGAAATTGTTAATTTCAAGTGCCGACTTATCACGTGCTCAGCGGCGAAGGAAAACGTCGTGAGGGAACCTGGGTATTTTCTAATTAGGATAAGTAGAACAAAAAAAAAAGAACGTTTCGGAGATATTATGTGAAGTCCGCCAAGTGAAGGCCGTAGTGACGTCGCGTGGTGGATTGTGTGCAATACGGGCCAGCAGTTTAATATAATATAGGCTGTTACTTTACTTTTACAACATGTATCGTATATTATGTATACAATTTCTACGTTTTTAATGTGAAATACAACATCTAAACCGATTCCCCCAAGCCCCGTGACGACAGCGAGGTAATAACAGGCAACCGAATGGAACCCTAGCCCATTCGAATAGTATCCATTCGCAAAGTAATAAGCAGTTAAAATAAACAACGGTGTATTCCAACTCCCCTGGGCTCGGCTTTGGATCGCGTTATTTTGCGGTGAGATTAAATTGAAAAAAGAAAAAAAACGTATGCCTACACGTGGATAGGCGAGTGACATCTTTTTCCTTCAAATGCAAATCCAAACGGCGTCAATGAGATTAAAGTAGTGACATATGTCAACTATATCCAAACTGGCGCGACCGTCTATGTTTAATAATGCAATAAACGCAATTCGTATTAATAAAAAAAACGCGAGCTGATCGTAAATAACTTAGCCCAGTCTTCGTTTTACAAAACAAAAAAATATAAACGTCAAATTGACAGTTCGTTTTGCCGCGTCATTAAAAAAAAAACATAAACAAACTGCGACACCCGCGCCGTTCGATATTCGAACTTCGCGTGTTTACGTTATCACAATGGGGAAATACACTTCCACTCACCTTTGCGAATTCAATTTTGAGCGTGCAGCATCCGGAGTATATGTCGCATCCGTGCAGGGCCTCCTTCGCTCGCGTCGCAGACTCGACACTCTCGAACTTATAGCGTTGGGTTAAGGCGCATATTGCAACGACAGGGGCCACGCAAACGGACAATACGAAATCAAGAGGGGGCGCGCGGGTTTGTGACGGCGTCGTTCTCGTAGCCGACACGAAATATATATTGGAAAAATGTCAATTGGGAAGAGATAGATTCGCTCACACAAACGATACCCAACAAAGCGTAATTTTACAAAATAACCGCCGGGACAATCCGTGCGCCTCCTCTTTCGTTACACACATTGTAAATACACTTGAAATAGATACACATTTAATTGCGAATGAATTGCACGAAACTATAATAAAAAAATTAAATAACACAATAGTATCAAATATGTCTTTAGTAGTACGATTGTAATACAGCGTGTCTTTACAATCGTGACAATAAATGAACACACATATAGGGGATAACTTTTTAAAATTGTATTAAACATTTACATTCTTTAAATATAAATATTTACAGAGTTATTAAATTTTCCAAAACAAAGAATTTTAGAACACCCTTACGTATAAAACTGTAACGTAAAGTTCATTTGTAAAGGTCACAAAGCATATGAATGGGTTGAATTAATTTAAAAGAGATAAAACATACTGTTAGAAGGAGAGGCTTGTAATGCGACGCTGTGGCGCGAGTTGTATAGGATGTTACAAATTTTGTTTCTTTTTTACTTAATTAGTTTGTTGGAAAAATATTTTTTTTAAATTATGGATTTTATTTAACGTTAAAATTTTTTTATGATTATTGGCAAGTAGCGTTAGACGTGTGTTCATTTATTGTCGCGATGCTAACGACACGCTGTATACCGTATATTTATAGACTGGAATACCTATAGAGCTTAAATTAATTGTACAAAACACAAACGTTTCCTGGCGTCATTTAGATAACTGAAATAGTAGCAAACTAAGCAATGGATTTTTTTTATATGGCAAGGTCGCAATCGAGCGGACGATCCACTTTATATGAAGTGATTAATAAACACCCGTCTCGTGTATCTATAATGCCACACACACACACAATGAGAGAACACTCCAAACGAAACTTAAGTTCGTAAAAAAAAATTAAAGATGAAGGTTAGACAAAGCCAAATATGATGACTCCGTGGCGCAGTAGTAAAGGTATTGGCGCCGGGGTCATGGGTTCGATTCCCGCACGGGACAAGTACTCGTATTTGTGTGACCGACAGATAATTGTTACCGGTCTGGGTGTTAGTCCACGTGAAATTTATGTGTTTAAAACTTCCTTACAACACAGGATAACGTTATCCTTCATTGAAGTGGGAATGTTTTCGAAGGAGAGACTGCAATAGACGTTTCTAGGTCGCAGTGCTCATTGGGACTTACTACCCAAACTCTTCCATACAAAATGGACAAAGAGAAAGATTCCGCCATCCGTCTGCGTGTTTTTGCAATGGAAAGAAAGAAACAAAGAAAATACATTTTGTATACCAAAAAAATAGAAAGAGAAATAGAAAGACTCCGTAGAAACCATATTAATTTGCCGATTTTGATGATTATTATTTCGATAAAATCAAAAATAGGCGCAAATGTACCGAAAAATAACAAAAACTGCATAATCAATTGCCTCATATTAAAGAGTAGCTTTCGTTACTTATTAGTTAGAGGTAATATATCCTGAAGTAGGTATTTTGCCTTCAAAAAGAACGAGCATTATACGTGAAATTGTAGCAAATATTTTGCAGATCTTTTTTTATGTGCGAAGGTCGCAAGCACGCTGGTTCACCTGATGTTAAGTGGCATCCGCCGCCCATGGACAATTGACAACACCCGTAAGGTTTCATATGCGTTTTCACCTTGCAATGAAGTGGGCCCCAGTTACCTCACTCACCCCCGACGGCCTGCCCATTCGTGCAACATTAAACACTGTAAGGTGGCCCTACCGCAGTTGAAAAACTTGTTACCCAATTAAATACATGCAAGTCACACGCCGTGGACTCTAATAATTAACCTACGTGAAAAAGGACGCTGTTGTCGGCCTTTAATACGGATTTTTTTTTTAAAACATTATCCTTGCTTTAGGATAACATTATCCCGTCTTGTAAGGAGGTTTTACAAACATAAATTTCAGGCGCACAAACACCCGGAAGCGAATTAACTATCTATGGGTCATACAAGTAGTTGTCCCGTGAATAGTCGGAATCGAACCCTCGACCGCTGAAGCCAATAGCTTGGCAACTGCACCACGGAGGCATCGTTCCGCAGTGCCGCACGATTCCGCCGCTACACAAAAACCCGAGACAGGGATCGTTGCCAGATTGTAGGCGCTAAAAGGTGACAATTGACTTCATAACGGCAACGGCACCCGCCCAGCTGCCCCAGAGCGCCAAAAAAATCTCAAACTGGGTCATAAATGTGCTCGTTATCCGGTCAATTGCGGTCGCGAAGTGAGGTCCCTATTTGTGCACTAAAGAGTTCCCAAAGACCCGTTAGTTGTTATTTTATCGGCGGCTCGGTTGATACGATATTGGTTCGTTTTAGAGTCGACTTCATTTCGGTGATTCGGGCTTTTTTTATTTTAAATATAAAGGTTTATAACATTTTTATTATGTCTATTCCGCCAAACTATGCAACAGTTTATCGGCAGACTGAAAACGTAAAAAAGCTCTCAACAAAACAAATTTTTAATTATAAGAGACTCAACAGTTATTACTTCGAATCTAATATGTTAACTATTTCTGAACTTGAATATTAACAACTGTTATAACGAAGCAGCACTAGTGGTGTAAGGGTAGGTGACCTTCCGGGAACGTAGCCGAAAAGCAAGCGTCACTTTATAGTGTTGCCAGCGACTTGTCTTTTTAATCAGCAGAAAAATTTTGAAAAAGTAAATACAGAGATACAGTTTAAATTTAAACGAAAATAACACAAAAATAATTAAAAAGAAAAGAGAAAACCGAACAAAAGGCAACAGTAAATAAAGTAAGCGATGATAGTTTATTCACTATTGAATCTTACAAATAGCAGTGCACCGAACGCGCCTCTGAATCATATAAACGTTCGATAAACGTTACAGGAAGCAACTTTCACGATACATCAAAGGGTTCCTTTAGATGAGAAACGAGTTACGCGGAGAAAAACGTTAACCGCGAACGCCCACGCAATCCCGAACGAAGCGTACGAATTAATCAAACCAAACTAAGCGCCGTCGATCATTCGCGCGTGGAAAATAACAAATGGTAAAGCGAGATGGGCGCAGATCCGCGGAGGCGTCGCGGAGAAAATTGCTCCGGATAGTTTGATATTCTCTAACCGGAAATGAGCGTGCTTTACTACTAGTGATGGGACCTTAAGAAATATCAAAGATCCCGGTATCGATACACCGGGATCCCGGTGTACATAAATCAAAACTAGATCGTAGTCTTTGCGGAACTTCAATGCCGTACACAAGTTATTTATGACAAATGGATCATCACAAGATTCCACGAAGAAAAAATGTCTGGGAATTCGATAATGAAAAGCTAACGATGACGCTCTCTAGATAAGCTAAAGAAGTTACGTCACACAGCGTTTCAGCTGATTGTTTCATCGGAGTTCTTTTCGTTTCATTTATGATGGTCACAAGATTATATCATCCACACATACAAAAGGAACACACACGTTATCGCCATTTACAATCTAACGTACTAACTACCTAATAAAGATATCTAAAAAATCAACATGTTTCCTGAAAACCTGGCAATAGAATAACCAACTTTAGCGCGGGGCTTGAACAGATTTTTGAACCCACGATTTCATAACGGCTAGAACTACTAAGAAAAACCCAACCAGTAACAACACCAGCGTCATCGATTCTCCACCGCTGCCGTGCCGCATTTATAAGACGGCAATTTATCTCGGGACTGAGCCGAGCGGTTTTCTGGTTGACGTTAATTTGAATTTATCGTTGCATTTCGTTGTTGCCATCGTAATAGTTTCGCACTATTTTGCCTATTCGTAGACGATAAAGGGCGTGAAAAGTGAGACGGATGCCGTGGGCTCCATAATTGTAGGGCGCAGGTTCGAGTGAGAGTGAAATAGCCAACCGAGAGTGAAACCAACAATGACCATTGATTTTTTTACTAAACGTGAGTGTAACTGTAACAAAGTGGTAAGCGATCTCCGAAATAATTTTACTAGTGTTAGTCCTAGAATTTTTGACATTTCCTTATCAATGACTTTCTTCTATTATATTCGCGAAACACTTTTAAAACAGGTAATAAAAGCAAACACATAAACCAAAATTCTATATACACGAGTTAATTACCTTTCATTAATAAAGAACGAATAAATAATGAACTAAAATAATTATCTGAATTTAATTTATAAAATTTATAAAAATCCTCCATATATTTTATGGTATAAAAACGAAAGAAAAAATTTACATAAATGTCTACTACATATGTAATGTATTCTCTCGATTATAATATATAACATAAAACATTAGCATTATTATAAAGGAATATTTTGTACAATTTGTATAAATAACCACAATAAAATTAAACACAATCCCACGAATGATACTATCTATAAATTCCCGCATTCAATATCCGTCACTATCCCGGCACCGTCAATCCCTAGCGTCGGAGCGTTTTTCCCGCGCCGTTGTTTTCCGCGCGTCATGACGTCACGGGTCGACGCTCGTCCGACCTTGCGTTGAACGCTTTCGGGCGGCCGCATTCACACCGTAACGTAATGTTTATTTGACTATTTTCATCTCTTTATTTTAAATCTCTTTATTTAAATTTTTTGTATAAAAAGGAAAGAAGTTTTTCAGCGCTGTGATGGTTCGAACGTGAGTGAACCATTATTTTACGTGAGTTTTTTCAGATATTAATGACGAAACTAAGACTATTTGAAGTATACTAATTTCGTAAAAAATCTCTCGGATACCTTAAATCCTATTTAAGGTATCCGAGAGATTTTTTTGTGTGATAAGTTTACCAGCGAGCAAGTGGTTCACCTGATGTTACGTGATTACCTCATAGTAAAACATAGTAAAAACAGGGAGTCCATTGGGAGGAGTTATCTCTCTCACCAGAGTAAATATACAAGCATTCCCAAGTGAGGCTGTTCTTCTGGCGGGCCAACTTACCCGGACAAACCTGGGCATTCTTGCAATGCAATTTTGTTATATGAACCCGCCATAATATAAAAATACGGCCATTGGCCTATTTTTCCAGACTTCCATGGCCAATACTGTTATATTATATACAAACTAGCTGTTAACGCGGCTTCGCCCGCGTGGTCAAAGGGAATTAACAATGAGTTTTTTAGTATACACCAGAATAGCACGCAGATGGCAGAATTTTTTCCTACTTACTCTTATCGTTATATTTTGGACAATTCACATAATATGTTTATTAATTATAGCCTATATCTTATTCTAATGTCTTAGCTATATTATTGTAACATTTCATTAAAATCCATTCAGTAGTTTTTGCGTGAAAGAGTAACAAACATCTATCCATACATACAAACTTTCACATTTATAATATTAGTAAGGAAATTAAATGGCGTACAAATAAAAAATACGATGAGAGTTCGTCCAAATTCAATGAAATTCTAACAACGCGAGATTAATTATATCATTGCACGTATTATGAATATTATGAACTGATAAAAACGTGAGTTCGTATCGTTCTAAAGTGTATTAGATAAACTAACGCATTTCAAACCAGTCTTTGTATATGCATATTTTCCGATATATCTCATATGTTCAAATAGTTTATGTTTCGTTTTGTGTATATTAAAATGATTAGTATATGGAATGTATCAAATTGGTACCACCTCCGCTCTCGCGAATTCTTATAAACATTAAACCGAGATTTATACTACACAACGGTCTAACGAGCGGTATGCCGCCATATGTATCGTCCCACACGCGCCGGCGGTAACTCATCACGCGTTATTTTTTTTCTCCAACTTTTTATCGATAAAATAAACAAACGCACAACACTATAGTACATCATACGGGATTTTCGCAACACGGTCCGCGCCCCGGCGCGTTTGTTTGGACTTCACGCTTCGGTCGGGCCGTCTGCCTTATTTAACGCGTGCGCTTTGGGTTCACAATCGACAGGCGGTAGCGGAAACGTGTAGGCAAGTGCAACTAACGCGTGTGTTTACTTTAGTTGACATGAACGGTTACGTTTGATTGATACGTTCGGTTAACGTAGTTGCTGAAATATAGTGTAAAGCGCCGCGGGTTGTGGATTCGATTCGATAGGTGTGCATTTTGTGCATATAAAACGTCTATGACGCGCGATAATCTCGTCTGTGTAAATGTCGTTATATTTACACACACATTTACGAGAACAATGCGAGGAAGCAGGTTCTATTATATCAACTGGGTGAAAAAGATATAGGTGTGTTTGTGTCAGTAACTCTGTCGTCAAATAATTAATAGTTAAAATTAAAAGCATATCAGGTAACTAATAACTGAGTTAAATACATATTGAAGACACTGTCGCTCTTTGCAATATAATTACAATCTGGACATTTTTCTATACAACTTGATTTATAATCACTCTCATTATCACGCTCTTAGTTACGCGAATAAAATTGTGTGCCAAAAAAAATAGCCCGTTATTAATTTAACGGTACTATAATCAAATTTAATGAGGCGTATCACTCACTAAGAATACATGATATTTCACTACGCCAGGACATTTAATAGAATTATATTCGCTGGTAGAGACTTCAATTAGGCTTTGTTTTGCATTAAATTCGTTCCTATATCAAATGGTGTTTTATAAGAAAGTTTTCAGACTAAGCTTCGCAAATGAACAAAATTAACGCCCGTTAATTGACGTCTCTGCGTGCGGCCTTAATAAAAATTCGCGGTTACGGGCCTAAACAAAACCTCTTCACGCATAGCA